GGGAGGAGGACGGGAGGGCATCTGACACACGGGAGGACGGGAGGGCATCTGACACACGGGAGGACGGGAGGGCACCTGACACACGGGAGGACGGGAGGGCACCTGACACACGGGAGGAGGACGGGAGGGCACCTGACACACGGGAGGAGGACGGGAGGGCATCTGACACACGGGAGGAGGACGGGAGGGCATCTGACACACGGGAGGACGGGAGGGCACCTGACACACAGGAGGAGGACGGGAGGGCATCTGACACACGGGAGGAGGACGGGAGGGCATCTGACACACAGGAGGAGGACGGGAGGGCATCTGACACACGGGAGGGAGGACGGGAGGGCATCTGACACACAGGAGGACACGTTCACTGTGCTCGTCTCTGCTCGTTTCTCGGACTTGTTCTGGTTTTCTGTCGTGTCTCGTCGTTTTTCCCTTTTGGCAGATTCAGGCCTCGTGTCACCGTTTGGCTCTGGTCCCTGTGTCCCTCGAGTCTCTGTCACTCAGTCCTGGTTTAGACCTGGTTTAGTAGTGGTTTAGTCCTGGTTTAGACCTGGTTTAGACCTGGTTTAGTAGTGGTTTAGTCCTGGTTTAGACCTGGTTTAGTAGTGGTTTAGACCTGGTTTAGTAGTGGTTTAGTCCTGGTTTAGACCTGGTTTAGTAGTAGTTTAGTCCTGGTTTAGACCTGGTTTAGTAGTGGTTTAGACCTGGTTTAGTAGTGGTTTAGACCTGGTTTAGTCCTGGTTTAGTGGTTTAGACCTGGTTTAGTAGTGGTTTAGACCTGGTTTAGTAGTGGTTTAGTCCTGGTTTAGACCTGGTTTAGTCCTGGTTTAGACCTGGTTTAGTAGTGGTTTAGTCCTGGTTTAGACCTGGTTTAGTAGTGGTTTAGTCCTGGTTTAGTAGTGGTTTAGTCCTGGTTTAGTAGTAGTTTAGTCCTGGTTTAGACCTGGTTTAGTAGTGGTTTAGACCTGGTTTAGTAGTAGTTTAGTCCTGGTTTAGACCTGGTTTAGTAGTGGTTTAGACCTGGTTTAGTAGTGGCTAAGACCTGGTTTAGACCTGGTTTAGTAGTGGCTAAGACCTGGTTTAGACCTGGTTTAGTAGTGGTTTAGACCTGGTTTAGTAGTGGTTTAGACCTGGTTTAGACCTGGTTTAGTAGTGGTTTAGACCTGGTTTAGTAGTGGTTTAGACCTGGTTTAGACCTGGTTTAGTAGTGGTTTAGTCCTGGTTTAGACCTGGTTTAGTAGTGGTTTAGACCTGGTTTAGTAGTGGCTAAGACCTGGTTTAGACCTGGTTTAGTAGTGGTTTAGACCTGGTTTAGTAGTGGTTTAGACCTGGTTTAGTAGTGGTTTAGACCTGGTTTAGTAGTGGTTTAGACCTGGTTTAGTAGTGGTTTAGACCTGGTTTAGTAGTGGTTTAGACCTGGTTTAGACCTGGTTTAGTCCAGTTTTGTAACCAGGGTAAAACTCGTAGGAGGTGACCAGGCGACGCAGGGATTAAATAACTCACAGGACATTAAACTGTACATGTACTTCTGCACTTGTACTTGTGCACACAGTTTGTAGACAGACTCTGGGATTTAACCCTAAACTCTGGGACTGACCTCTGACCTTTCACATGAGTTTACAGTGAAACAAGCCACACACACAGAACCCAGACTGGACCTGGACCGGACCAGAACAAGACCCGAAGACAGTGACGTCTATCGATTCACGCTGCCCCGTCGAAATAAGCGACCTCACGTTTTTGTTTACAGCTGTACAGATCCAATAAACCCAAACCCTGACGTCTGACGTCTCCAGTCTGACACATGTTTCTTTGGATCAGAATTGTGGGTTTGATGCTGTTTCACACAGTGATCAGACTTTAGATGTGAGTGTGCGTGGTTCATGTGGACAGTCGTGTTCTGCTCAAACAGACTCACACAGATTCACAGGACAATTTATGCAAACAATAATGTCCCAGTGTACAAAAACATTATTCAAACATTTACAGGAACATGGACAGAGCTCATTTCCACAGGTCCAGATCTGAATATCAAATAAAACTCCCACTAGAGAAGAAAAAGAAACAACTGAAACATACAAATCTTTATATTTTACAACGTTACAACATTTTCTAGACATGAAAACTAAATAAACACAATGCAGTGAAAATTAAAACGATAAAATCAAATATTAAATCCAAACTATTCAATCCTCTAACGTCAGTTTTCTGCCGCAAATCCAACACACACACGTCGATGTTTCACTGGACCAAACACAATCAAACCAAAACACTTTTAAATGTGACTTGTTTCTCCACTTCTGCCTCTGGAGCTCAACTCGACGTTCTTTAAACTGTAACGACGCTTCGGGGTCATGCACATGCGCAGTAGAGCCGGGAGCTCAAATCGACAGGACACCGGACTAGACATGAACTAGTCCAAGTCTAGTCTGGACCGGTCCTCATCCTGCAGACACCAGGTCCGGTTCATGGTCAGTGCAGTGAGGTCAAACTCAGATGACCCGTCAGAGCTGAAGCAGCAGAAACATAAAACAAAACCAAAAAAAAGAGAAATCAACCAGCGCACGCTCACGTGCACGTGCACTCCTCTGCTTCAGTCCGCTCTTGGGTTTCAGGCTCATAAAGAGTCTTTTGTTTAGACCAAGATCAGAGTCCGAGTCCCTTCAAAGACCCTATTCACAGACCACCTCAGATCCAACAGGTCTAGTCCAGGGTTAGACCGGGTTTAGTCCAGGGTTAGACCGGGTCTGGTCCAGGGTTAGACCGGGTTTAGTTCAGGGTTAGACCGGGTTTAGTCCAGGGTTAGACCGGGTTTAGTCCAACTGGTCATTTTATCACTGACTTCAGTCTATTACTTACGTATTAATATATTTTAGTGAAGGGCCAAACACGTCACCAAGTCGACTCGTGTTGAGCTCAGAAAGTGATGCTGGTGCTGCTGTGCCACTTTGAGAAAAGTCACGTGGCCGATACGTCTCCTGTGTCATTGGAGCATAAAGAGCATAAAGAGCAAACATACATACATACATACATACATACACATATACAAACATACAAACATACAAACATACAACATACATACATACATACATACATACATACATACATACATACATACATACAAACATACAAACATACAAACATACAAACATACATACATACATACATACACATACATACATACATACATACATACATACATACATACATACATACATACATACAAACATACAAACATACACATACATACATACATACATACATACATACATACATACATACATACATACATACATACATACATACATACATACATACATACATACATACAATACATACAAATACATACATACATACATACATACATACATACAAACATACATACATACACACATACATACATACATACACATACATACACAGAAGACGTCTTACTTTACTTCTTAAGTCAGTTCCTGCCAGTCCAAGACCAGAGTCCTGCCTCAGCTCAGATACGACTGATGGAACAGACTCAGACTCAGACTCAGACTCAGACGATGGAACAGACTCACAGACTCACAGACTCACAGACTCACAGACTCAGACATGTGTCTAACAGAACAGGCCTCAGTGAGCAGCAGCTGCACAGGCACAAAAATGCATCAAATGTTCACTGAGAATAAGGTCATGGATCTGTATTGTTTTCAGATCATAAGTTTAATTGAAATAATTATGATTATATGTCACAAAGGAGAGATTCAATTTGTCAACTGGACAAACGTTTATTTAGATTCAAAAACATTTCACAGCTCATCTTCAGTTCTGGTCATTCTACCTGGACGACTGAGGGATTCAACACATATGATTATAGGTCAAAGAATTGACCAATAAATAAAATAAAAACTAAATACTAAATACTGTGAGAGGGAATCACACTTTCTACTATCACATAATTATTGACTGTTGTTTCAATTAAACTTGAGTTGTTTTGAAAGTTCATCATCCATTCTCTTCTCTTGTTTTTTCATCTGTTATGATCTTGGTGTATTTTGGGTAATAAGGCAGTAAAGGATACACTTCAGTGTCACATGTCTGTGGAGGATTCTGGGACATGACTTGAGCAGTGAGTTTGACCTGGATGTTTTACCACGCTCAGATCAGACCAAGACGCCTTGCATCTGAGAAATAAACACGTGAGCCAGAGAAAAACAAAAAGAGACCTGTTCTATGTGAGATCAGTCCAGGGTATTATTTTATTCTCATTTTCAAAAACACTCATGTTGTCATTGTATCACTCATATGCCGACTTTATAAGACTTTATTCTACACCAGGCTGTGACATGTTCTTCAGTTGTTGGATATTAGAGCATCGATCACACGAGGAAGGAGTTAAATTTTTAAACCACTAGATGGCGCTACAGAACATGCCAACAGCCACACACCTGGACGCCTCATCTACACATCACTCATATATTTACAGAGCTACAGATGTGAAATGTTAAAGCCAACACAGTGAAGTCATTTTCAATCATCATGTATGTGTTTATTTATATTTATAATAGTGATATATTTATTGACTGACAACATTCCCACAGGCTCTTTATTTTACTCAGGTGCAGGCCCCGCCCAAATAACACAAAGACACACGTCAACAACAACATAAAACATAATTGGATAATTGACATAAATCAAAACTGAAAGCACATCTGAACAGTTAAAATAAGATCATGAATCTAAACATGAACAAAATCACACAATGTTCAAACGACCAGACTGTGGATCTAAAGTATTCAAGTAGTTCCTCAAAAGTTCCACAATAAGTCACTGTACTGTTCATAAAGTACACTAATAAATGTTTTATGTTTTCTGAGAAAATGAGTGCTCTCTTGTCACATAAAAGTAGCACAGTGTTTAAAGTTTCAAAGTTCTGTCCACAGACTTTAAAGTGTTCTGAGAGAGTGACCACAGTGTTTTTTGATTTCTGAAGTATCATAGCAACCAAAGAGCCAATCAGGAGCCAGGCTGTTTAAGATAATGCAGTTCACCCCAGCAGTTACAGAGGGAGGGGCCGCACTTTTTCAATATAAAGTCAATTGGAGCCAGAGCTGAACAGTGTCCATGCTCACTATAACAGCTCACTGTAACTAACAGGTGAACTCTGTCCACTAAGATACAGTCTGTGGAACTGACTGAACACCAGCTGATGTGCAGCTGTTCACAAAATCTTCCCCAAAATCGATCATTTGCTTCAGGGCCGTCAGAATGAGCTTTTCTATCTTCTCGTCTGTACAGACCTCACTGTGGTAGTTCTTCACTGGGAAGATGCAGTTCAGAGGAACTCCCACAGATACACTTAGTTTCTCCATCTAAGAAAAAAAAGAATCAATTACAAGAACCTGCAGCCCACTGCCACACACTTACATAACAGGTTATTACCAGCTCTTTCACAGATTTGCTTTTGTAGACATTGTTTATGTCAGCCTTGACCAAAGGGCAGGCTTCATCAATCTTTGTCAGAATGGCCACCTGAGGAATTTCTATGAGAAATGTTCAGATGAGAATTAGACAAAAAACAGTACCAGTTAAAATGTAAACCCTTAGGGTTACTGGCTGGGCACAAACATGGGCAAAAATTATGGACTTAAAATTATTGTTATTAATACCCAAGTCTCGAGCAGCGAGTCGCACTTCTTTCATCTTCGTCAGGTATTCATCACTTATGATGCTCAGTTTATCAGCCGGGACCACACACACCAGCACATGTGTACGGTCATTTAAAGTAGGACTCTTGTTGTAATGTGGGTTTGTACTTTTACAGGGGGATTGTGGATTAAACTGAAATCACACAGGATCAGGATGTCATTAAAGTGAATAACAGGAAGAAAAGTTGAAAAATATGTTGAAAATGTAGAGATCTATTTTAGAGAGTTCCACCCTGATGACATCACACTGGGGGAAATCTAGCACAATTTGCACAAGAAACAGATATTTTATTATACACTAAACATGATTTTAACTAAATGAAGGTGTTTTCTAATAAATGTATTTGTTGAATCAGAACCTGTGTGTCCATTAGAGGAGTTTTGGTAAAGTGTACTACAGTTGTGTTCAAAATAATAGCAGTCCAACATGACTAACCAGATCGATCACTGTTTGTGGTATAAATCATAGTATTAAATGGCAAATAATTTACCAGTAGGTGTTACAGAGTCAGAGAAACCAACAGACCCAGCATTCATTATATGAATGCTCCTGAGTCTGTGTAATTGAATAAGTAAGTGAAAGGGGTTAGTTCAAAATAATAGCAGTGTAGAGTTCAATCAGTGAGGTCAATCATTATGTATAGAAACAAATGTCATTTAGGTGGCCCTTATTTGAGGATGAAGTCAGCACATGTTGTACAAGCAATTCTCTCTGAAAACCTGAGAAAGATGGGTCATACCAGACATTGTTCAGAAGAACAGCGTGCTTTAATTAAATCGTTGATTGGAGGGGGAAACATATAAAGAATTGCAGAAAATGATAGGCTGCTCATCTAAAATGATCTCTTTAAAATGGAAAGCAAACCACAGAGAAGTGGAAGAAAATGGAAGACTACCATATGAATGGATCGAACAATAGCCAGAATGGCAGACTCAGCCAATGATCAGCTCCAGGAAGATCAGAGATGGTCTGACTTAAAAGACGCTTGTGTGAGGCTAATCAGCAAGAAGCCCATGCAAAGTCAAACTGTTAAAAAAAGACGTGCTGAAGAAGATACAATTTGCCAAAGAACATATCAGCTGGCCTAAAGAGAAATGGAGAAACATTCTAGTGACTGATGAAAGTAAGATTGTTCTTTTAGGGTCCAAGAGCCGCAGACAGTTTGTCAGACGACCTCTGAACACTGAATTCAAGCCAAAGTACTCTCTAAAGAGCATGAAGCCTGGCGGTGCAACTATCATGATATGGGACTGTTTCTCTTACTATGGTGTCGGGCCTATTTATCGCATACCAGGGATCATGGACCAATTTGTTTATATCAAAAAACTTGAAGAGGTCATGCTGCCTTATGCTGAAAAGGAAATGCCCTTGAAATGGGTGTTTCAACAAGACAACGACCCCAAACACACCAGTAAGCGAGCAGCATCTTGTTTCCAGATCAACAAAATTAAGGTTATGGAGTGGCCAGCCCAATCCCCAGACCTTAATCCAATAGAAAACTTGAGGGATGACATCAGAAATGCTGTTTCTGAGGCAAAACCAAGAAATGCAAAGGAATTGTGGAAGGTTGTCAAATCATCCTGGGCTGGAATACCCGTTTACAGGTGCCAGAAGTTGGTCAACAGGACATGCAGCGCAGATGTGAAGCTGTTCTCAAAAACAGTGGTTATACAACTAAATATTAGTTTAGTGATTCACAGGAATGCTAAATCGCAACTTTTTTTTTTATTATATTGAGTAAATATTTGAGTTTGTAATGAAAAATGCAGACATTGCTACTTTTTTAAGCAGCCCAATATCATTTTTTCCTTAATTTTTGTAAAGTAATTAAAACATTGATACTTTTTACCTCCGCCAAGGAGGTTATGTTTTTGCCGGCGTTTGTTTGTTTGTTTGTTTGTTTGTTTGTTTGTTTGTTTGTTTGTTTGTTTGTTTGTTTGTCTGTCTGTTAGCAACATAACTCAAAAAGTTATGGACCGATTTTGATGAAATTTTCAGGATTTGTTGGAAATGTGAAAAGGAAGAACTGATTTCATTTTGGGGGTGATTTGGAAGAAATCCTGGATTCTGGATCACTTTGAAATTTTTGTTAACATTGTGGTCAGTGGGGCCAAAAATTTTGTTTCTCAATATCTCCATTAATTATTGACCAAACCCCATGAAATTTGACTCAGGGATGGACAATGGGATCCTCTTTCATATTCAAATTGAAAGATAAGAGACAAATATTTATGGAAAACACAATTAATATGAGGGGAACTGTAGTCCTTGGTGGAGGTCTGCGCTCTCTGACTGCTTTTCTAGTTTCTTCATGTCTTGATGTAAAAAATAATATGACGTGTTCCCAGTGAATGGAAATAAAAATGTTATAAGGATTTTGAGCTTTACTCACGTTGTAAAAAACATTATTATTTTGAACACATCTGTACAGGGTTGCTGGGTGTAATGTCATAATTTCCAACCAGGGAGTAACATTTTAAAGCTAAAAAATATATATATTTATATTTTTTTATCTTAAATATAATGATCTTAAGTGTGTTTTAGTGAAATGAGTAGCCCAACCTGCCATAGGCCCTTTTAAATATTTACAAATGACTATAAAAGTCTTTTTCTGATACTTACCTCAAAGCCGTCCTTCAGGTGTCCCGTCATGGCCAGTTTGATGTCATCCACACAAATCCCTCTTCTCTGACCCGTCTCCAGGCCCATGATGTCATTGAAGACAAACGGATAAAAGGTCCTGGGTTTTTCTTTACGTATTTTGTGTGTTCGATACTATCAAAATCAAAATAATGATCAGATCAGTTCTGTTACAGACAAAGAAAAACAGTTGTTCTTGTACCTTTGTGGTGAAGCTGAATTCATCATTGCCAACCAAGGCCTGTGCAGTCATCCTGCCTCTTAAAATCGTCTCCACTGCGTTGATGAAACTGGATTTTCCAGCATTAATGGGCCCATACAGCAGGATCCTGATGTGCTGTGCATCTGTTTCATCCAGCTGAAAATCACCAAAGTACTTCAGGTAATCATCCTTCTTCCTGGCAAGAAAAACAGCCCACATACATTTAAAATGGAAAGGTTAGAAATTCAATGCAAATAAACTCAAATGATTTATTAAAGAGATGCTTTTACATTGGAGGCATCTTCCTCCAGTCGTCAGGGAGAACTGAAGGAACAGAAAATATCAGAGTCTTAAACTGTAAATTATCTTTATTACTGTTTCAAACTTACCATTTGGAGGTGAGGGAACCATTTCAAATAACTGGAAAAAAAAAAAAAAAAAAAAAACTCAACGAATTGACACTTGTTAAAGATAAGCAAACTATCTAAACATATTTAGTCACACTGATTTTCATAAAGACAGTACATCTTAAAAGCCACAGTGCAGATTCGTAAATACTATTATTTTGTCTAAATCTAAATGTAGTTAATAAATTATAAAAGTAAAACTTGTTCTTACCCTGCTAATGCTGTTACTGCCACGTCCCAAACTGATGTGTTTCTGCTTTCATTCAGTGCTTCCTTGTTTAAACGCAAAATGCTTCATCAAAAACCAGTATAGGAGTGTGCCTTAATTAACTTAGTGTGTTTTTATTGGCACACAAATAACACAACACAATATGTGACAAAATAACCACACGTTCTTATCCTGAACCTCCCCTGATTCTACTTAAAGCAACAGGCCAAAGACACCTGGAGTTTGAATAGAGTATGTTTAATATTCACAATGTCAAAAGTGAAAATAACAACATTAATAATTAACATTAATCAAACTGTCATTTTTATTCTTAAATGACTGACTTTTTCTGACACTGTGTGCAGAGTTTAGTGTGCCCATATTAAAACTGTGCTCCACATCTTCACTCAAATAAATGTACAAACATACAAGAACGTGACCCAACCATCAACCTAACCTCATCAGATCTCAGAAACTCAGCTGGGCTGGGCCTGAGCAGGACTCGGAGTCTGCTGGAAATGCCACTGTGTCCTTAGGCAAGACACGTTCACCCACATTGTCTAGTGTGAATGTGGCGTGAGTGTTGGTGGAGGTTGGAGCGGCTGACGGTGCACAGTGGCAGCCTCACTTCAGTCTGTCTCAAGGCAGCTGTGGCTACAACAGTTAGTCCATTTAAACATCACAATCACATTTGACAAGACACATGAGTGACAAACAGATAAGAAATACACAGGATTATTAGTTAGTTTATGTAATGAGACAGGGACAGTGCACAATATACATTAACCTTAACAGGAGAGATGCCTTGTACCAGGTTGTAGCACCAGTGCTGATTTGCACCTGTCGTCCCTGGGCAGGTTAATTGATTGTATTTAATTGACCTTAACTATCAGCTGCTCTTCTTGGAGATCTGTGTAGCATGTTTGAGTTACATTACATTTTCAGTGAGAGCATGTTTGGTTGGAAACATACAATCATTTTTATTTACATTTAAATTTGTTGGTATTTGTTTCCTATTTTAAATCAGGTGGTTGCAGTTCCACAGTTTGGCCCCTTTGGCAGAGAAAGAGACTGACCCAGAGTCCTGTGCACTGAGCTCTCAATTTACCATCAGTCTCTGTTTCTCCCTTCACCTCTGCTCATGAGCTCTGGAGAATGACCCAAAGGACGAGATCGCGGAGACAAGCAGTTCTCCGCTCCGAGTTTCCTCCGCAGGGTGTCTGGGTGCTCCCTTAGAGATAGAGTGAGGAGCTCAGTCACACGGGCGGAGCTTGGAGTAGAGCCGCTGCCCTCCCCTCAGCCGCTCCTCTCCACGTGTCTCCTGGGCGTCTTCCTCGGGAGGTGTACATGTCCCACCAGGAGGAGGCCCCGGGAAAGACCCAGGACACACTGGAGGAAGTGTCCGGGGTGAAGGAAGTCTGGGAGTCCCTGTTTAGACTGATGCCCCACGACCCGACCCCGGATAAGACGAAGGATGGATGGACAGATCTATCTTCTTGAGACAGATCAGAGACGTGTCTTCAGTGGTTTTGCACCATGTTTTTGTAAATTCATAAAAGTTCTTAAATATTCAACCACATGACAGCGTCGATATTATTCGTAATAAGCAAAAACTTTACTCCCCTTGATGTCCTATAGTCTTGTTGAGAAGTGATGAAGACAAGGACATTTATGTGTCCATGTGGCTGTGGTGATAATGATCGGTCTTCATTTTCAATTTGATCTTCTTCCATCTTATGATATGTGGACTTCAGGCAAAAAGGGAAGTGTGTCAGAATCTCTACAGTTTTTATTTCATCTTCATTATTATTATGGAGAAATTCACATTTAAACGTTGGAATGAGTTTGTACAATAGAGTATATTAAACCCAAATGCTTATGTGGAATACTGTTATCAACAGAAACACATGCACTAAATGAGGTGATACAGGTCACTCATAAAATCAGAAAATAGTTGTTTACTTACCGTAACTTGGATTATAAAGATGAGAAGCACCATAGAAGTGAAAGTGGGGAAAAGTTGAGGAGCTGTGGCTGGATCAGAGGGAGAGGGAGGAGCGGGGCAGACGACACTGAAGAAATTGTAATACAAAGATGACAATGTAAATCCTTGCTGACTCCACGCACTCGCACTACCACATGATCAAATGTTAACCTGTTGATATTCTATGTATATGTTACAGCGTGATCAATAGAGAACTAATAATAATCACTTGAAATGATGCTGCTTTCCAGTCCAATGAGGTTCATTTGGTCTTCCGATATTTCATGTTATAGTTTCTTTTTTCAGACCAAGAGTTTGTTTTCATACCTGACAGTTTCGACTGCTCACTAGCGTCTTCCTCAGAGTCACATGATGTTGCTGTGACGTGTCCGGTCAGCTGATTTAAACAGGTTTTGGCGCGGTCTTCCTCTCGGTGGAAGCAGGACGACAGCGCCATCTTCAGTCCGTCTTCCTCAGGACAGTATGCTGCTTTCCATTCCCCTCTTGAATGAAGACACCAGGGCTATACACAGTTTTTGACACTGACATTTTGACCATACTCTCAGACGACATGCACTTTGGCTTACAGAATAGAATAAAATTGATTATTTATCATGTGCTCGACTTATCATCGAGATCAACCAAAGTAGAGATCGCAATCTATCGACTTTTTGATTTTTGTGAGTGACAGATGTAACCTAGAATAAATTATTTTAACGTACCAAGAAAGTTTTATCAGTAGCATTCTTCTGACTCCTTGTTGCTCTAGACTGGTCCAGGATCGTCCTTCAGCGCAGCAACAGATGCAAGATCTCACTGAAAGTCCTGCAGCAGCAACAAGAAAGTCACAGGTGAATAAAAAGCCCACAGCACCAGAGAATGAACTGCACTTTTTACTTACAGTGAATAATTAGTTTAACTACATTTTTAGGCAGTATTACATTTTAGTCAGTAAATATAACTAGAATAGACCTACTACAAAGTACTGTGGTGGTTAATATATAATCCCATATTAACCGAGGTTAAATAAAATAATTTCATGTCACATAACAGTGCACCTGAACACACTTCAACTGGTATAAAGCCTGAGGTCAGTGTAAAACACTTCAAACTACAAACCAAAAATATAATATTCACTCTTAAAATGTACATCCATCTTCTTCCACTTTATCCAGGGTCGAGTCGTGGGGACATCAGTCTAAGCAGGGACTCCCAGACTTCCCTCACCCAAGACACTTCCTCCAGCTCCTCTGGGGAGATCCGGAGACCTCCAGCATGTCCTGGGTCTTCACCAGGGCCACTTCCTGGTGGGATGTGCCCAGAACACCTCCTCAAGGAGGCATTCAGGAGGCATCAGAGCAGATGCCTTCAGCTGCTCCTCTCCACTTGGAGGAGCAGCAGCTCTACTCTGAGTTTCTATCTCAGTTAGCAAAGCTGTCAATCAAACCCGTTACTAATGCTAGCAGTCGTTTTGGAAGTTCATCATCCATTCCCTTTTTTCTTTAATGATCCTGGAGCATTTTGGGTAATAAGGCAGTAAAGGATACACTTCAGTGTCACATGTCTGTGGAGGATTCTGGGACATGACTTGAGCAGTGAGTTTGACCTGGATGTTTTACCACGCTCAGATCAGACCAAGACGCCTTGCATCTGAGAAATAAACACGTGAGCCAGAGAAAAACAAAAAGAGACCTGTTCTATGTGAGATCAGTCCAGGGTATTATTTTATTCTCATTTTCAAAAACACTCATGTTGTCATTGTATCACTCATATGCCGACTTTATAAGACTTTATTCTACACCAGGCTGTGACATGTTCTTCAGTTGTTGGATATTAGAGCATCGATCACACGAGGAAGGAGTTAAATTTTTAAACCACTAGATGGCGCTACAGAACATGCCAACAGCCACACACCTGGACGCCTCATCTACACATCACTCATATATTTACAGAGCTACAGATGTGAAATGTTAAAGCCAACACAGTGAAGTCATTTTCAATCATCATGTATGTGTTTATTTATATTTATAATAGTGATATATTTATTGACTGACAACATTCCCACAGGCTCTTTATTTGACTCAGGTGCAGGCCCCGCCCAAATAACACAAAGACACACGTCAACAACAACATAAAACATAATTGGATAATTGACATAAATCAAAACTGAAAGCACATCTGAACAGTTAAAATAAGATCATGAATCTAAACATGAACAAAATCACACAATGTTCAAACGACCAGACTGTCTGTGGATCTAAAGCAGGGGTCTCCAACCTGTAGCTCAGGAGCTACTGGTAGCTCCTCAACTCCCTTTCAAGTAGCTCACCAAGGGATTTATGAATTACAAGTATTATGCTGAATAAGTCAAATTTGATTATTTAAATGCCTATTACTATTGTACATGTATCATTTTACTGCTTAAATTTGTACACTAATAAATGAATAATGATTTATGTTTTATATTTTACTCAATTTCTTGTGACCGCTAAAATGAGTAGCTCTCTTGTCATCTTTGTTTTATAAAAGTAGCTCACCGGAGGAAAAAGGTTGGAGACCCCTGATCTAAAGTATTCAAAGTTCTGTCCACAGACTGTATAAAGTGTTCTGAGAGAGTGACCACAGTGTTTTATACTTTTTTGATTTCTGAAGTATCATAGCAACCAAAGAGCCAATCAGGAGCCAGGCTGTTTAAGATAATGCAGTTCACCCCAGCAGTTACAGAGGGAGGGGCCGCACTTTTTCAATATAAAGTCAATTGGAGCCAGAGCTGAACAGTGTCCATGCTCACTATAACAGCTCACTGTAACTAACAGGTGAACTCTGTCCACTAAGATACAGTCTGTGGAACTGACTGAACACCAGCTGATGTGTGCAGCTGTTCACAAAAATCTTCCCCAAAATCGATCATTTGCTTCAGGGCCGTCAGAAATGAGCTTCTCCATCTCTTCGTCTGTACAGAGCTCACTGTGGTAGTTCTTCACTGGGAAGATGCAGTTCAGAGGAACTCCCACAGATACACTTAGTTTCTCCATCTAAGAAAAAAAGAATCAATTACAAAAACCTGTAGCACACTGCCACACACTTACATAACAGGTTATTACCAGCTTTTTCACATATTTGCTTCTGTAGACATTCTTTATGTCAGCCTTGACCTCAGGGCAGGATACATCAATCTTTGTCAGAATGGCCACCTGAGGAATTTCTATGAGAAATGTTCAGATGAGAATTAGACAAAAAACAGTACCAGTTCCTAAGAAAATGAAAATGTAAACTCTTAGGGTTACTGGCTGAGCAGGTACATGCACACAATCACATACTCATACTCATGGGCAAAAATACGGATTTAAAATTATTGTTCATACCGAAGTCTCGAGCTGCCAGTCGCACTTCTTTTATCTTCTTCAGGTATTCATCACTCATGACGCTCAGTTTATCAGCCGGGACCACACACACCAGCACATGTGTACGGTCATTTAAAGTAGGACTGCTGTTGTAATGTGGGTTTGTACTTTTACAGGGGGATTGTGGATTAAACTGAAATCACACAGGATCAGGATGTCATTAAAGTGAATAACAAAGAAAAGTTGGAAAATATGTTGAAAATGTAGAGATCTATTTTAGAGAGTTCCACCCTGACGACATCACACTGGGGGAATTCTGTCACAATTTGCACAAGACACAAGATTTTTAAATAATACAATAAACATGATTTAACTAAATGAAGGTGTTTTCTAATAAATGTATTTGTTGAATCAGAACCTGTGTGTCCATTAGAGGAGTTTTGGTAAAGTGTACTACATGGTTGCTGGGTGTAATGTCATAATGTCCAACCAGGGAGTAATATTTTAAAGCAAAAAAAATTGATAAAATGGGACCAAAAAATTTTTTTGAAAGATTTTTTTGTCAAAACTTAAATATAATGATCTTAAGCGTGTTTTAGTGAAATAAGTAGCCCAACCTGTCATAGGTCCTTTTAAATATTTACAAATGACTAGGGACGGGCATTCGATTAAATTTTATTAAGCGATCGTCGGAAGAATTAACGATCGTTTATCGATTAATCATTAATGTTTTTATATTAAAATGATCATCATTATTATTACTATCTGCACTAATCTGCATAAATAAACTCAACTTTACGACATATAAACATAACGACTCTAGATCCACATCAGCTGTTTGACATTATAATGTGTTTAATTCAGTTTTGTTCAAATCTCACAGAAACAAAACTTAAAACCACATCACTAATTTACATAAACTAAGTGAAGATAAAACTCCAGCTCTTGTGTCGCTGATGTGGTTCAACTTGTGTTGGATTAAAAGACATGACTCAGGTGAATACAGGTCAGTGTGACCAGATTTGTGTTTGTCAAAACCAGGAACAGCGTACGGGGGGAGGGGGGCGGGGCCTCGTCATCCACATTGAGCGACTCTCACCTGGAAAAACTTTCCCCCACTGGACACAGAAACATATGTGCTGCTTTATCCACTGTGCACATGGACTCACACTTGTCCCAACGCAACGGAAAGTGTGGAATTTCTTGTACAAGTCATCGTTAAATACACATTTGTGCTTCGGTTCGTTACAGACTGACCCACTGTTTGTGTTTCGCTCCTTCTGATGCAGAGACACATGTACACACCTGTTTGGTCGATTAAAATGAACGTAATCGATGAAATTCTTAATTATCAATTACCGATTAATCGACTAATCATGCCCATCCCTACAACTGACTAGAAAAGTGTTTTTCTTACCTCAAGGCCATCTTTCAGGTGTCCCTTCATGGCCAGTTTGATGTCATCCACACAAACGCCTCTGTTCTGACCCGTCTCCAGGCCCATGATGTCATTGAAGACAAACGGATAAAAGGTCCTGGGTTTTTCTTTACATATTTTGTGAGTTCGATACTGTCAAAATCAAAATAATTATCAGATCAGTTCTGTTACAAAGAAAAACAGTTGTTCTTGTACCTTTGTGGTGAAGCTGAATTCATCATTGCCAACCAAGGCCTGTGCAGTCATCCTGCCTCTTAAAGTCGTCTCCACTGCGTTGATGAAACTGGATTTTCCAGCATTAATGGGCCCATACAGCAGGATCCTGATGTGCTGTGCATCTGTTTCATCAAGCTGAAAATCACCAAAGTACTTCAGGTAATCATCCTTCTTCCTGGCAGGAAAAAACAGCCCACATACATTTAAAATGGAAAGGTTAGAAATTCAATGCAAATAAACTCCAATGATTTATTAAAGAGATGCTTTTACATTGGAGGCATCTTCCTCCAGTCGTCAGGGAGAACTGAAGGAACAGAAAATATCAGAGTCTTAAACTATAAATTATCTTTATTACTGTTTCAAACTTACCCTTTGGAGAAGGCGGAGGTGGAGCAGGGGGACGTGGAGCAGGGGGAGGTGGAGCAGGGGGAGGTGGAGCAGGGGACTTGAAGCAGGGGGAGGTGGAGCAGGGGGAGGTGGAGGTGGGGGCTCATGATGTTGATTTTTACGATTACGACGTTCACGTCGAAGTCGGGCATTCAGCCACCAAAACATATCAACTGGAAAAAAAACTCAATGTATTGACACTTGTTAAAGATAAGTAAACTATCTAAACATATTTAGTCACACTGATTTTCATAAAGACAGTACATCTTAAAAGCCACAGTGCAGATTCGTAAATACTACTAATTATTTTGTCTATCTAAATGTAGTTAATAAATTATAAAAGTAAAACTTGTTCTTACCCTGCTAATGCTGTTACTGCCACGTCCCAAACTGATGTGTTTCTGCTTTCATTCAGTGCTTCCTTGTTTAAATGCAAAATGCTTCATCAAAAACCAGTATAGGAGTGTGCCTCAATTAACTTAGTGTGTTTTTATTGGCACACAAATAACACAACAGAATATGTGACACAATAGTCACACGTTCTTATCCTGAACCTCCACTGATTCTACTTAAAGCAACAGACCAAAGACACCTGGAGTTTGTGAATATAAGACGTACTATATTCAATGTCAAAAGTGAAAACAACAACATTAATCAAACTGTCATTTTTATTCTTAAATGACTGACTTTTTCTCACATGTTGTGCACAGTTTAGTGTGCCCATATTAAAACTGTGATCCCTGTTCATCTCATCTCAGTCTCTCATGTCTCCACACGTGAGCAGAGACTGAGATGAGACG